ACCACGACGCTGCTGCAAAAGCTTTGAGGACCCTGCAGAACGAGCCCCCACCCGAGAGGCTGGAGGTGAGGAGAGAGCAGAGCTGGAGCTCCTTGACGCTTTGGGTGTAGCAGGAAGGTGGTAGGGAAGACACCATCTCAAGTTGCTTTCTCTAAGAGGATGTATTGAGAGTTGTCCATTATGTTTGTTATTTGATAGCTTACAAGTTTTTATACCCTGTAGCTTTCTTGCCTTTCTTCTCCCTTAAAAAAACATGTCTCAGCAAGAAAGTCAGGTGCCTTCTTTTGTGCTCAATGGCATAGTTTTGAGTGAACATGTTAGAAAGATTGTGGACTCACTTGAGTTGTGAAGAACATGCATGGCAGAATTCTTTGGTGCTGAAGATTATGCTTGCCAGAATCTCTGATTTATGGTACCAGGTTAGAGGGTTTTCTAAAGCCATTTTGACCAGTCTTTCTTTCTTTATTATCTTGAAGTGCCAGTTATCCATTGCTGCTTAAAACACTGTCACAAAAATTAGTGGCTTAAACACCTACAGGCCTTTATTTTGCTCACAAGCCTGCAGTTTAGGCAGGGCTTGGCACGGGGAGCTTGTCTCTGCTGCACGTAGCTTGGGCTGAGGCAGCTATGCAGCGGCTGGAGGATCTCTTTCAAGATGGCTCCTTCACATGGCTGGTGAGTTGTTGCTGGCTGTCGCCTGGGAGCTGAGAGGGGGCTTTGGTCCGGGGACCTCAGTTCCTCTCCTAGTTAACCTATGCAGAGATTGTTTACACATCCTCACAGTGTGGTGGCTAGGTTCCAAAGGTGAGCGTTCTAGAAGACAGGAAATGGAAACAGCTGCCAGTTTCTTAGGACCTAGGCCCAGAAGTCAGCACAGCGTCACTTCTACCATATTCTGTAGGTCAAGCAGGCACAGAGCCCAGATTCAAAAAGAGGAGGTACAGAATCTCACTTTTGGTACTGAGGTAAAATTCACATAACATAATTTCACAATTTTAACCATTTTAAGTGTATATAGTTCAGTGACTTTTAGTATGTTCACAATGCTGAGAACCCCACTTCTGGATGAGAGGAGTATCAAAGAACCTGGGGGCTGTTTTATTTTTTGGCCACACCATGCGGCTTATGAAATTTTAGTTCCCCAACCAGGGATTGGACCTGGGCCCTCGGCAGTGAGAGTGCGGAGCCCTAATCACTGGGCTGCCAGGGAACTCCCTTGGGGGCTGTGTTTTAAAATTATCACAATAGGTAAAGGATTTGAACTCTGTGACTAAATAGGAATATGGGTCTTAGAAAATCAGTGATTCCATGCCATTGAGGGTCCAGAGTTCCAGGAGAAACCCACTGAGTTAGAAAACACTGAGATTTCATGATTCTGTTTAATCATAGTATGAAATGCTTCCTGAAAACATCCCTGGGAAGCATTTGACTTTTCTTCCTCAAGAAACAAGTCCTCAAAGAATAAGAAGATCTTGCACAGAACATTGGGCTAAATGGGTGATGATAGGTATGAAGTTGAAGGGACCCTTGGCAGGGTGCTTGCTGAGGTCCATTGTGTCCAGCTGTCCCCCAGGGTGACCCAGCTCAGGGTGGTGCTCTGTGGCTTCATGGCTGCTGTGCAGGAAGGTTTTGTTTTTCTTCTGTTGCAGTGCATTTCCATCTTGAGTGTCATCACGCATTTTAACAGAGATGATCTGTTTCCTGGGTCCACTGAGGACCAAATAAAGGAGAATGGACTATAGCTTAGAAGAGGAGAATTTAGTGAAGTGAAAGGATGAAGTTCTCAGTGGTGAGATTTGTTAAAAACACCAAAGGTAGTGAAATCTGAGTTATTTTTGGAGGCTTCATTTTTTGAGTTGACTTTGGTGCTAATATAATTGGAGTCAGATGGAGTAGGTATTTCTTGGTTCCTTCTAGCCAGCAGTTGTTAAATGATCGCTGAACAGTGGTATGTGGGTTGTCTGCTTCAGAATCACTTGAGAAGTTAAAAAAAAATTCCTTGGCCTAACCCACATGAATCTAGATTCCAATGCAGTGGGTCTAGCCAGGAGTCTGGCTTTTTCTTTTTTTCCTTTTTTTTTTTTCTGGCTGTGCCACACGGTATGTGGGATCTTAGCGCCCTGACCAGGGATCGAACCCACGCTGCCTGCAGTGGGAGCGTGGAGTCTTAACCACTGGACCACCAGGGAAGTCCTGCTTTTATTTTCTTTTTTAACATGCTCTTAGAGTACCTCTAAAGCACAGTCAGGGTATGGGAATCCCAGGTCCTAAGTATTTTCAGTGCTTCCCAGGCAGTTTTCCCCCTTGGAATTCTCCTTGGAAGTATGTACTCACTGGATCGCTGCAAAGGGAAAGCTCCCGTCAGTGTCTCAGAGTGACTCACAGAGCAGTTGGTTGGCTCAGGTCTTGAGGTCAGGGGGCTGTAGTGGACACCCTGTCCTCAGCTCACCTGACGTTCTATAAGCAGCTTGGCTGGGAGTCATGATCATCACTTGTGCCCCTTGTTTCCTCCTCTTTGCCCCTTTTCTAATTCTATATGGTTTGAAGTAGAGACTTCAGAAATGAGGGTCATTAACTAGGATATGACCTTTTCTTTGAGGTAATAAGTGAAACACTTGGCTTCCCACCTAAATGAGCTGGCCCTGGTCTACCAGGCCCCCTGGAGGGTGGGCAGCAGGGGAGAAAGACATTTTTAAAAGATAGCTTTAATTTTTTTTCTTATAAGTAATGCCTGTGAACTATAAAAATTTTAAAACTCAAAAAAAAAAGAAAAACAAATGCTGTATAAATTTACCACTTGTAGATAGTCACTGTAAACATTTTTGTGGATGTCAGTGCACATATAAGTAAGTACATGCACCTGTTTCACAAAAATGGGATGATATTGTATAGTAACCACCTTTTTTTCACTGAAGTGCTCATTATGAATATGTTGTAATGCCATTTACTTATAATTCCATGGAGGACTCAAATTCAACGTGGTTCTAAGTAGTTTTTTTTTTTTTTTTTTTGGCCACACTGCACAGCATGTGGGATCTTAGTTCCCCGACCAGGGTTCGAACCCACACCCCTTGCACTGCAAGTGCAGAGTCTCAACCACTGGACCACCAGGGATGTCCCTTAAGCACTTGTTAATGGCTGCACAGTGTTCCATTGTGTGAGCATACCAGTTTATTTTTTCAGCAACAGAGGCTTGGTTTTTAGGTTGTTTGCAGTTTTTCCTGTTATAAAAATAGGTAGTGAAGAACATTGTTGTAGTTAAATCTTTGTGTACGTCCGTGATTATTTTTATGAGCCACAGTCCTAGAAGTGGAATTGCATGGTAACGTATATGGCCAAGTTCCCCACCAGGAAGATGGTACCATTTTAGGCCTCTGACAACAGGGCCTGAGCAGCCTGTTTGCCCACAGCCTGCCAGCACTGGAAATTATCATTTTAAACAAATTGTCCATTTTGCTATTGAAAATTTTTAGCTCATGTGGTGGATCAATTCACCTTCTCTAAAATATACCCAGTAAAGCTGGTGGTTTCTGTCTAAGACAGGTGTGGTTTGGTCCCTTGATGACAGGCACTATGCTCGGCTGACCCTAAAGGTAAACAGCAGCACTGCCCCTCCCCATGTGGAGCTTGGTTGAATGGAGCATCATCAAAAAGTGCATTGCTAGGATGGAAGTAGCAAGTATCATGAGAGCATAAAATGTCTTGTTTAGGTAGGAGTACTGATGGTGCATTGAGGAAGAGTCATTTAAGCGCAGACTGAAGATGAGCAGAAGAGCAGGGGAAGTACATTCCCAGCAGAGGGAGCAGCTTGAGCAGAGGTCCTGAGTTGGGAAAGCACCTCTATTCTGTTCTATTCTGTTCTGTTCCTGTCCTGTCCATGGCTTGTGCTAATAAAGGATGACTTATTCAGTGTTGAGGTGTTAGGAGTAAGATGGTCATAACTACAGTATCTGTAATAGAGGAAAACAGGAAGTAGCCTAATATGTCCATTAGTAGGGAAATGGTTAAATAAATGAATACATTTATCCCAGGAGTATCAGAGTGTGGTATATCTATTTACGTGGATGTGAAAGGAGGCCCATAATGTATTGAATGGGGGGGGGGGAGAATCATGATCCAGAGCTGTTACTACGTGTATAGTGTGATTGTGTTAAGTAATCAAAAGCGCCAACTGTGTGTGCATGTATCTGTATATATTTGCATGTGCATAGTTTCTATCTTAAAGCTTATAGCAAACTTTAAAAGTAGTTTTCTCTTGGTGGTAGTGGTAGAGGACAGACTTTTAAAAAATTGTATTGTTTGAAGTTTTCTTTTTTTAAATACTACTTCTGAAAAAATAAATAAATGCAGTTCTTCCTGGTCTTGAGTTCTTATCTTCACTTGAGCCAGGGACATATTTAAGTAGGACTAAAACTAAAATTGGAGACCTTAATCTTCATTATACTATCAGGGTCCATTCGACCCAATTTTCATTTTTGAGCTTTCTCTACCTCTGTAAGAATTGATATTGCATGACTTCTATTCTTTTTCTAGAGGTTTTAAAAAGAACAAAGAGAAAACATACTTATTTTTGAAAGTAGAATAATGATTTCTGTCTTAAAATGATCATGTGGGTCCTTTGGGTCCATGTGGGTCCTTTGGAATCTTAATTTTCCTATGCTTTGAAAAACATTTTGCTGCTGTCCTCCTACATATCATTTCAACACTCTTCATCATATTTTCCCAAATATGCAATAAACAAGACTAAAATAATAATAAAGTGGAAGAATGATGAAATCCCTGGTGGATGATACAGTAGTGAAATAATTGTCATTATTGCATCATCCTTTAATGCTCTTACTGCATTGCCTAATGTATCACATTATCTTTCAAGAAGATACAAAAGAAGACTGGAGACACCATCTTTTTACTCTACTTTTAGCTTTTGTTGAACTCAGGAGAGACTTCAGAATTTTTCTTTTTCCATCCGTACTGGCAAAGAGAAGAAAATTGATGGAGGAAGATATTTTCATTATTAGGCAAATCAGAAGATGAATGCAGAGAGACAAACAGCAGTATTCTAAAC